ATCTTTTACATGGCTCAATTTCTTTTAATAAAAAAAGTTGATATATCACCAGAAAATAGGTGCAATTGAGGTTCAATTAAAGACAGAGTCCTTGCTTAGATTCAGTGTTTGCTTTAATATTTCACTAAAAACAGCTGCTGCTTGCTTTGTCAGCCATCATCAGAGCTGACACACACAGGAAACTACAACAGGAACTTCACGGCATTGTACAAACACACAGGCACAGAAATGACAAGCCTCCCTCTACACTTCTGTCCTTAAGTTTCTGTTTTTGCTTTGTTTTTTGTTTGTTTTTTTAAAAAAGAAAGAAAGATAACAGGAAGTACAGGGCACATTTTGATTGGAACAGAAATAAAACAATTAACACAGAGAATAAGAAGGAGATTCAGCGATGTGATTTGGTTTCTCTTTCAGTCAGTGGAGGGAGAATGAAAAGATGAAATGGTAGTATAATGGGAGGAACAAGACTTTCTTCCAGGTGGATTTCATCTGCTGTCTTTAGCTTACATCACATGAAATGATGGATGGATAAAAGAAAAAGATGGGCTTGTTTTTCATTAACCTGTTTTTCTGCTTTTGAAGTCTTGTTCATGGTGGTCCATTGCTCACTAAACCGTAACATAGATCTTGGCCACACCACAAATGCACATTTTCACAGTTTATATTGGTTTTATTTGGCGTTTTAAATTTATATTCTTCCAGTTTATCACTAATAGTTTATGATTAAAACTAATGTTCTTAGTCTGGATACTGAAACTATTACATACAGACATCACATTTAGAGCTATGAGGTTTGTAGCAAATCAAAAGCTAATGGTCACCAAACACTCAATGGACCGGTGCTGGATCTTATTCATAATCCTACTACTGGTTCTGGACCATGCTACAGGTCTTAGTATGCCATCATCGATGCTTGATATTTATTCAGATTGATGAATACCATGGTATCTCCAGACTCTTTCACGTTTGTCACATGTGCTCAGTGTGAACGAGCTGAATGACGATTGAGGTGAACGGTGCTAGGGTCTGAGCACAGCTCCCTCATAGAGTCTGTTTCAGATTGTTTAGTTAGAAACGTGCGCTTGAGTAAACTTCCTGGAGTAAACAAAAATGCCCCGATGCACAAAACTGGGCCTGCTGCTGGGTTGATGACCTTCTTCAACCCTATCCAACTCATAATTACAGCTCAATCCAAATGTCCACATCACATATTCATGGATATTGAGGGGCATTACACACATCCCTGGCATCAACAGTGTCAACCAAACAACATCGCTGAAAGAGCAACATGGCAGTTTGTGCACTTTGATGTAAAGTTCATCATAAAAGTTGGTAACAGTCCTCTGTTAGCTTGCCTTGTGAAGACTGGTTGTTGTTCCTACACCAACTGCACCAGAAAAAAAATGCACATATGTCTTGCTTAAATTTACCCACAGTTCAAAGTGCAATGACGTTAACTATAAGGTTACTGAAAAACAGCAAGTATGGGAGAAGCAACCATGTTTTCCCTTTGTTCACTTTTTAAGACAAAAGCCTATAAGATGTTCCAGTGAGAGAGTTGGTCCTTTAAGTTCTTGGCTCTAAAGAAATTAAAAATAACCTTAGTTTTCAAGGACTCCTCAGACAGGTGAACACTGTGAGAGGTCAGTCCTTGTAGGGCTTAGGGTGGATATTGGTATTAAACCTGCCATTTAAATGGATGGCTGTGCTGTGTGGGAACATCAGCCAAAGATAAGTTGTTTGGCAAAAACTTTCAGCTACAAAAATACTATCTAACTAACACTATTCTAAGTGTGGACTAAGTGTGTAGTACTTGACAACAGTTTGGCAGAGTTGGATATTTTTTTGTTTTTGTCTGTTTTAAGCCCAAAGATTCCACAGATATCTGAGACATAGATACAAAAAAAAACTTCAGCAGATATATTTGACCTTATGAAGCATGGCTGAATAAACCCATATGGGTTAAGCTGGTCTTTAAGAGCACATCCTTCACTTGTCCCCTTCAGCATTGCTCTTGTGGATTAAAAGTAGCAGTCATGCCACATTATGGTAATAAAACTGTGCATGACATACTTGTAATGCTTTAAACTGACATTTTGACTCAAGTTCCCAGTAGAAATGCTGTGATTCTACATTAGGCATCGAGATATGGGTGTTTTTAAATGTTAACAGTAATAATGGCTTTGGGTTGCAAGGTCCATTAGAGGATCTTTTTGATGATTTAAAGGCAATGATGACATTTTAAGAAATGAATAACAATTTATTAATGTTTATTAAGCAATTATCTCCAACTAACAGGCATAAATAAAATCCAATTATTATTATTTTTTTAATCTTGGAGAAAGCTATCTCCCCAAAACACCACTTCAACCCCAAGTGTTGAGAAATTAGAAAGTTCTTTAGAGCATATAGAACACAGAGTGCTAGGAGCTGGAAATATTTCAACTTTGAGCAACTTCAAAAGGAGCTTCAGCGCTGTTTCGTAGCAACCAGCACGACACAAACCATTTCAGCTGAACTTAACTCCATCTATCCCTGCATCTGCAGAACAAAACAGCTGCCCCCTCTGCACCCTGAACGCCTTTTCAGGAGAGTGTCGCAGAGCTGAAAGGCAAAATATCTGAAGCACGTTTGATTTAATCTCTAAATTTATTTACTTTGAACAGTTTGGAATTCTTACTTTGGCGGCAGTCGATAAAATCATGCTGATATGAATCCAACCCAATAAATATTGAGTATAAATCAAATAATATTTCTTCTAGTTTGTTTTTCAGGGTAAAAGTCATTTTATAGTTTAGGTGTCTGAAATAAACCTAGAGTATTATATTAAACATTATTTTTCTCATGTTTATCATTGGTGTGGTGAAACAAATCTGCGCGCCCTGAATAACTCATGTTTATTTAAGCTCAAACACACAAAAAAGGCTAAAATATGTCAAAGAAAAAGGAAATGATCAAAAATGACAATTACAATCATTCTGTACATGATGAGACTGCTGTACAAAAGCGTTTACCCTGTTTATGTGTACTGTACATCTACTGATTTACAGTAAGCAGACAAAATGCTTGCCTCAACATACAAAAGTGGGAATAAAATGAGTCCAGAAATATCCACCTCTGCAGTGAAATATTCAAAAGCAGATAAATCAATACAGCCCTCATTAACAGTAACCTTACAGCGGCCTCCCACTCTTGACTTGTTACTCACATACTACATAAACTCATTGTTTTACAGTTCAGCCCATATACAAAGCAGTTTCAGAATTAAGGGGAAGATGAGAAGGTGGAGGAAGATGGCATGTGGGCTGCTGGCGAAGGCCTGGAGGATCTGGCTTTAGAGGATGAAGTCAGTATGAGGCAGGTCAGGATGAAAAAGCAAATGAACAAATTCAATTACATGAATAAACATCAAAAACATAAAAACTGAAAATAATAAAACAGAAGAATGCTGCAATTTTGAAAACTCAAATTTTTATGAGCTTGTTGGCTTCCTTGCAGAGAATTTGATGAGGATCAGCATCACTGTATCTGTCCATTCTCAGCTGGAGCTCAGCTCAAACGGGGAAACCAGCTATCCTTGGTTGCTTTAAAGTTAAAAAATGTGATTTCTTTTTTAATATATCCAAAGTTCTCGAATTACAGAAAAATATTTTCTGATTATTTTTTTGAAGAAGAACAAATGAAAAAAAGAAGAAAAAATATCAATAGAAAATATCAAGTTGTGATTTATTTATTTTTAAACAGGCAGAGATGTAGAAAGCTAGCCAATCAGCTAATTTGAGGGGGAAAAAAAATGTAAAATTTTGAATATTCATTAACTATTAAAATTAAGTTAACTTTAAAGTTAACAAATATGCCCTAACAGGTAAGCTCTATATTGGCACGTCTTGATGTTCAAATGTTTTATTTTTTAGAGCTTCATTTTGAAAGCTAACCTGCTAGCTAGTTACACGGACACAAGAGGAAAGCGTTAGCCTAGCTAACTTCAAAGTGAAGTTCTGATGCTCTAAAGCTAGTGCAACGTGTTTTTCTTGCAAAGATATCCCTTCTCTATAGCTTCAAGACAGATAAGAAGGTGATGCTGAACTTCTCATCCAATTGCCTGAAGCGAAGCTAAATTATTCTTCCAAATGCTCATCATTTTCATTTAAATTAATACCAATTCAAGGTCTTAATTTCTTCATTAAATTGCTTATACCAATTCTCTGTCAATTATGAGTTAATTGGCAATCCTAAGTGACAGCTTTAGATTGTTTTTGTGTGCAAACAACAGGCCAAAGTACAAGAGTATTTATCGTACAGTTATATAAGACAGAAAAACCTGATATATGAGAGGCTGGAACCAATGACAATCAATTCATTTAACATTGTTTATTTCTTAAAGCCCTAATAACACGACTCTGTACTACCTGTGTTTGTATTTCAGCTGGTATGTATGAACATTACAATCCATATTTTTGACAACGCAGCCTTTACTAACTATGTGGAACTATCATCACAGCAACAGTTTGTTCTGCACAGGTTGTGTTTTTGACAAAAAAAAAAAAAGAAGAAAAAAGAAAGTTGATTTTAGCTCCTCAGAATATTCAGGCTGGAGGAGGCAGAAGAAAATCCTGCACAGTTAATTCCTGCAACATCAGGGAACGGTGAGCGGCCAAGTCCGGACTCCCTGTACTGCAGCACCAGCTGGAGACATCGCACTCGGAGCGGGCATTCATCTAAACAACTTTATGATGATGCATTTCTACAAACCACAGACTAAACGGGCAATCCAACCACAGCGAGTGTGAGTGTCAGCACAGCTTCCAGCCAAAAACAAATCGGCGGGCCAGAAAGGTATCTGGAGGGATTCCCAAAGCGTTCTTTCAGGAAAAATGGAGAAAGAATGGAGAAAGGTGGGTGTTTCAACGCCAGCAGAGTGCTGTCCAATGAGAGGAGAGTGAAGATTTAAATGCATATTTCCATTTCAAGGATTAAAAAAACTCCACAACATTAGACTAGTTTGTGGCTCTCCTTCCTGCCCTCTTCTTCTTTATCATCATCATCACTGTCTCTCTACACTGCACTGTAGTTTCCTTTAATGCCCTCGATGTGAGTTTCGTTCCCTCTCCTTAACAGAGTCCCAACCCTGAGGAGAGGCAGGGCTGGTGGGAGGGAATCCTGAGGGGGTCGGCAGCGGCCTCCCTCAGCCGCAGGAAATAACAGTGAAGCGTTTGGAGATGCAGGACATGTTGTGCAGCACGATGCCCAGGAGGAAGAGCAGCACACACGCCACCAGGATCACTGTGCACACTCCAGACCATGTGGAGCCCTTTCCTGCTCCTCCCACTGGACCAGTAACCCTCCTCTCTCCCTCACTTCCCTCCAAACCTACACCGTCTAGACCCATAGCCAGACCCAGTGGCTGCTCCTCGGGCACAGTCACCACTGTCACCCCCTTCTGCTGGCTGCCGGGCAAGAAGCGACATCCCAGCTCCCCTGGCAGGCCCAGTGCCCGGTCTTTAGCGATGGGAAGCATGTAGCAGCCATTGCTGGGGAGGCGAATAAAGACAGGCGTGTGCTCAGAGGTGTGAGGGATGGCGATGACGGTGATGATGTCTGGGTCATCCGGGAGGTGAGACACGGACAGGCCCGGGGGGAGCTTGGTGACGCCACGACACCATGGGCAGCGGATCTCTTTCTGGCTGCTACGCATTTGGGTCAAACACACTGAACAGCATGTGTGTCGGCAATCCAGGAGTTTGGGTCGCCGTCGGGGGCTGTAGTAGTTAAAGCAGATCTGACACTCGAGCATCGAATCCTGGGAAAGAGTCTCCATTTCCAGGAAAAAAGGTATTTTCACAAGAGGGAAAACACAATTTAATTGGCTCTAGAAGAAACGCAGGGGGGGAAGCAGAGCTGGTTTCGTTCACGACTTCACAGTGATATTACGGCCCTTTGGGGGCAACATGGCCCTTCATCTGCAACAGAAAGAAAAAAAGGAAAAAAAACAACATCAATAAGAATTCAAGGTTTTGTACGCACATTGCAGAACTATCTACTGAGGATCTCTTCTTTTTGATCTTCATCATTTGATATCAAGAGTCTGCAGCATCAGCAGGAACTACAACACTTCTGACTCTGGAGAGAAAAAGGACACAGTGCAGCTGCTGTTTGCTTAAAGTCTTTTCACCAAAAACTCATCTCTCGGTAGCTTGCTCATCATTGAATACTCAAACATCGGCTCCAATATTTACCATTTCTCTGATGCAGAAAAGTCTTGTTTTTTGTGCCCAAACCCAATCTTTCATGACTGCACCGGTGCTTTTGCCTGCAGTTACTGCGGCTTTTAGAAACCGTGCTGCTGAGCTGAGCAGTGTGTGTTTGACCTTTTGAAACAGCAACTAAAAGGTCAACTGACTCACTTGTTCCCAAGCTTTAATCAGCACAGGAAGTAGGTTAAATTTACATCAGACACCTCTACAGCTTGACCATCTTTTTTTTATAAAACATCAATTCATTGTTGTAAAATATGAGTGTGCAGGCTGGCTATTTTTACCTGTACAGAAGTTAGAAAGTGGTTACCAGTGATGGTAACATAGGCTGTATATAAAAATGGACATGTCACCTTGATAGTGTCTATTGGTTTGAAGGTTTGGCATTTTGGAGTTCGACATCAAGTGTTTTTTTAATGACAAGTTAGGAGTGGATCTGGTTGCGAGAGTGCAGCAGACTCATATTCTAGAAACTTGTCAGTCAAGCATGTAGTGCTTTATCATCTACTTTAAAATTAATAACTGAGAGCATAAACACATGAGACCAGTATTTATAAAAGTTAAGTTGTTGCAAAAGTGGCAAAAAAATTTTGTTCAGAGACTGTCTGCAAAGTGCAACACTAGAAAAACTGAGATCCCGTTAAACATCAAATTTTGAGACCAGTCCCAGAGTCACACAGGTCTACTGACTGGTCAGTGACTGGCAATCTGATAGAGACCAATGCAACTGCGATGAGGTCTCTGATGTAGCACCATATTGAGGATTTGCAGACATGTGACCACTAACCACATGATTTGTCTGTAATTTGGGACGTGTGACGTGATAATGTAGAACAAGTGAATAAGGCCCAAGAACTGGAGACTGGACAACCATATGCATGCAGCCTGTCACCAAGGAAAAATATGTATTTCCCAACTGGCTGGCAAAAGAAAACCTTGTTCTGATTGCTTTGATTTCTAGCGTGTGGCTGCAGACGAAGATTGAGTCACGTTTTTGGCTACAAACACTATTCAGCTACTCTAAGCACTAGTGAAACACACACTTACAAAATTGTATTTGCTTAATTAGTATTTTCGGAGAAACATGAAAGACTGCAAACAACCATGGCAATTAGCCACAGCAAACACTGAGGTTTTTGATGCAATACTTTCTTTGCAAATTTTACCCAGCAATGTCCAGAATGACTTTTTCCCTAACAACTACTGGTTACCAGGGAAAACAAGAACATTTCCCTGATATAATAACAGTAAAGGCAAGAGGCCTAAAAATGTTAGCATTTAAAATGTATTGATTTAATGTGTATTAAATACAGTAATATGTATTTTATAGTGAGTGCTTTGTTGTGCACCTGTATTGAATGGTTTTATGTGACCTTCATAGGGACTATAGGTTTGAAATCGCAGTTTTGCAAAAATCAGACTTTTTGACACTCAAAACTTATTATAATCTCACGGATGAAGTTAAAATATTGCTTTTATATGTGATTAGTGTTGCTAATGCTAAGAGCCATCTTTCATGGTGGTTTAACGTCCACATGCCTGTGCTGAATGTGATTATGCGTTGCTCCAATAAGTGGTTATATATCAGCTTACTCTTCAGTTTCTCGGTCAAAGTATTGCAGAACTGTACTGGACTTTTCACTTTTCTTGTTTACAACTTCCTGTCCCATTAATTAAAAATATGTTTAAATATGATTGGCGCCGATGATTTCAGATATCGAAACAACTTTAACTAATAAAAAACATCCAACTTCTTCCTAAATGTTCAATGTCTGTTTAATCTATTTAAAAGTATTAATCTGCTGGATCTGATTTTGAGGAGGTTTGACAGCGCCACGTGCCGTTAAAAATTAACAACCTCCTATCTCATAATTGTCTGTAAACCATGCATGCATTGTGGTTCAGCTAATGAGTACCTCCTGTTCTGGATTTTGCATTCATGTTGACAAAACAAATTGGTTTTGTGCAATCTGCTTGCTACTGCATCAAAAACAAAATCACGGGGAGAATTAACCAAATGCCATCGTTTGCTGCTCTTATTGGACCTTCAAACTGTGCGTCTGCTGCTTTGTATTAGAGGAGCTTTCAGAACTTGCAAAGATGCTGTAAGAGTCATGTCAAATCACTAAATGCAACATGAGTCAGCAAGAGGAACAGATGTGACTTATGCACAGATAAGAGGCCTAGAAGAAGGGAAGGTACAAGCATAGTGGTCAAAATACAACAATGCATCATGAAGGATGAGGAGTCGTGATATGCAACAGACACTCTACACATCAGCCGGCAGTGGACTGCAGAAGAGGCGAGTTCACAAGACTCGTCGTCGGTATCTTTGTTAACCACGGCTAATTCTTTTCTCCTTCAGGCCACAAACTCCATAAACAGTTTCTTCCTCCTCCTCCTGCATAATCACGTCTCTACCGTGTTAATCCATGCGGAAGCTGTGATAGTTTGCTTTTGCAGATGATTAAACCCTGTCAAAATAGCACCAAGGAAACAATGAATACCAAACAGGGCCCTGCCGACTTTATATTTTATTTTCTCGCTCAAATTGTCAAGTGTGAAAACTGCTGAGGAGGGAAGGGTACATCTATCTTTCTCTACGCTGCCATCTCGGCGCCGTCGGCGTCCGTCCGGGCATGACTGTGGGCCGACGTCGAGGACGAAAAGGGTGGGTGGGGGTCGGCAAAATAAAGTGTTGACAGAAATGGGGAAAAAGGTGACCACTGATTGCCCTGCAACACTGCGCATCTTACACTGTTATCAAAAACAAGATCTTAGGCAATTAAACTCATCCTCTGGCCCTGTGGGGACATTGATGTAGCAGTGACAGATAAGAATGAGTTCACACTAAGCATGCTTGGAGCGCTATATTCAGTCTTCTTTTAGTTTGGTTCACTTGAGTGAAAACAGATGATCACATTCGACCTTGGGTGGCATTAAACAACCACAACAAAAAAAAAGGACAGGCTGGTCTGTTTGAAATAATTTCACTGACTGAGTCATCAATATATGCTGTAAGAAAAGCGTAGCCTAAGCACCCTCATGCATAATCACATCCTGCAGCTCTTCCTGGGGGATCCTGCATAGCCAGATGGGAAGCCTAATCCCTCCAGTGTATTCAAGGTTCGCCCTGGGGTTTCCTCCAAATTGCCCTAACCAGAACACCTCCTTAGGGATGCATGCAAGAGGAATCCTGATCAGAGGGCTGAGCCACCTAAACGAACGCTTTCCAGAATAAAGAAGCAACAAAACCCTTCCCTGATTTGCAAGACCGTTAACCTCTTTTCTGAATACTGATTCTATTTAGCTTTAATTTTTAGTCATTCGCCAGTATAGCAATTTGATAGAAGATGGTGAATTCCATGCGCAGATATTTTGAAGGTGAATGTTCTGCACTTTTTTCAGTTTCACTACCACTCAGCAACTAGTCGGCAAGCTTTACATGCAAACAACAGGTGACTGCAGCAATCTGTTAGCGACGTTTTTTGCTGCACACTCTTTACTACTGATTTCACCTAATTGCAGCAAGCAACCATTCACCAACCAGTCAAGGATTGCATTTGATATCCTAGCATGTGGAAGTTACCATGGGGTCACCAATTGGTCTGTAAAGCGAGAAAGTGAAACCAAAGCAAAACTAAGAAAAAGGGATACAAAGCAAGCTGGAAAAAGAACAATAACTCTAACACATGAACATGTGATATATATTACATGTAATGTTTTAATTGCAGAGTTCATGAAAGCATCAGGCTGGGCATTTCAGAGGCTAAGACCCAGAAGGTGATGTATTAATGATCATTTGACTAAATAGTAATATCGCAGCTTTATTAGGCAAGTCCAAGTATGTTGGTACAATGTTGCACTTTCCTTCAGAAAGTTATGATGAGATCTTAAGAGAGTCCTGTCGTGGAGCATCTCTAGTGTCTGTAGTCAGCTTCCTCCACTCGGCCGCCCCGCCTCCCTCCCCTGCCTTCAGCACCAGCACCCCCTAAGGCAAAACTCCCTCTCCAGCTGAGTCTGGAGGCTAGACCCACAATTCCTCCTCCTCCTCCTCACTCTGCACTCCCCAGCTGACCCAGTTTCTCCACACTGAGTCAAAGCTGGGAAAAAGGTGCAGAAAATTTCCCCTAGTTCCATGGAAAAGTGAGCAAGAAGAGCAGAGAGAGACAGACAGAAACCTGCCCTTGAGGGGGGGAAAGACAGCCCAGGGTATTACTGAATCCTTCTCCCAAAGATAAGGATTAGCTTTGATCTGACATAAATGCTTTGTGGCTCAATATTCCCATACACCCAGTCGCTCTCCCTCTTTTCTTCCCTCCTGACTGCAAATGCTTTCCTCCTCTGCTTTACATCAGTTCAGGATTTTCACTTTCCAAGTGACTTTTTCGCTCTCCTCCCTTTGGCCTTTTCCTTTCTATGCATTTTGTCAACGCCATTGATGAAAATAAAGCCACATGATATAAAAATACAGCATAGACTTGTAAAATAAGAAAAGTGCATTTTGTTTTAGTTTAATAAAATTGTCAAAAAGACTAATACAATAGCAGGTTTGAATGAATAGCCTGTGCTGTACAGTTGAGTAAGTCATAACCACAAACCCACTCCAAAACCCTGCGACGTAACCTGACATCACTCCCTCTGGAAATTTAACTCTCAGGAAATGTTGCATCGACACAACCTGTAACTATTGTGGTTTTTGAGTC